ATTTTGTAGGAATTACAAAGCCGTATTTTTATAGTCAGAAAACGATTCCGTGATAGTAATTAAAGGCCCGTTGATATTTGTAAGAGGTTCACCCTCTCCTCCTAATGCAAACTGAAATACAATTTGTACAGCACCACCCCCTACAGTACAGATTGACACCTTTGCTTGTAACACAACTAAAATAAAAAAGTATTTTAATAAAACATACTAAAATATAATTTTTGAAATTAATCACTTATAATGTCTTGTTACTGGATTAAAACGAATTTAAAACATTAAGTTATTGTTGAAGTGTTGTTCCTCTGCGTTTTAATATCTAAGTAACAAGAAAATCATCTTGAATCTATTGATAATTAAGTCATATCATATCATATCATTAAGACTGAAAACTGTCTTTAACACGTGTGTTTTGAACATTATAATAGCTGAACTGGTTCTATATAAGTTAAATATAATGGCATCATTTTTTAAGTTCATGTAGTATACACATCACACATTTTCCACGCACCTAAAACACGAATATGACATTTCAGCATTACTCTATTTTATGTACATTTTGTTAACTGTTGGAAGTTTTCCCATAGAAGCAACGAAGTTAAGCCTAGTGGTATTCATGATGTAGTAAAAAACGAACAAAAAACAGTATGTTATTAATATTTCATCGGCATGTTAAGAATAATTTCTTAAACCATAATCGTAACTTAAACTTTAATTTGGCTAAGGTGAGAAAATGCTGTATGACTTTAATAAGGTTATTATTATCTCATGGTGAGCATCATTATACACAGAGAGTAATTAGTTATTTAATTTATTACATTATCAAGTCATTCCAATTATATTTTGGGTTATTATAATTATTTCAATATCAATGTAATTTCTTTCTTTGCATTTTTATATTCCATTATTTCATCACACAAATTTGGATTGTTTCATTTAAAACACCCAGAACAAATTACACAAGGTAAAGTTATAGTAAATGTTTCAATGGCGCTGTAACTAAACATTGACACAAGAAAACAAGCTAGTAATTTGCAAGTTTGTTTAGAAAATTCAGGCAGGTTACAGTAGGCAATGCCATGTCTATAGACCTAAAGCCCATTGGTCCGTAAAACTCAGTGGTTATAAAATCCATTTGTCTTGTAACCCATTTGTTCTAAAACAACTGGTTCCTTCATGGGGATGAGTGATTTAACTTTGTTCTGTAGTGAGTTATCGATTATCTGTGCTTTGCCCACCACGGGTATCGAAATCCGGTTTCTAGCGTTGTAAATCCGCAGACATGCCGCTGTGCCACTGGGGACAGCAAGTTGGGAAAAACAAATAACAAACAAGGGGCAGTAGCAAGTCAAGAAAAGTGAGTAGTGAGTCCAGAAAAACGAATAACGAGTTGGTTGTTAGTATTCTTGATATTTTTTTATTGTTTATCAAGTTGTCAACAGAACAAACAAAATATATTTCTAACCCTACTTTCAGGTATTTCATCGAACCATGTCAAGTAATTGCAAAAAGATCAATATATCTCTTGTATGTTATCTATGATTTACTAATGTTTTAAAGTAGAGATATCTCTCCCCCCACTAAGAAAAATCAGTATTTCATTATGATAATGAGAATAACCTTTAATTGTATCTCTTATGTGTTATCTCTACTTTAAAACAATATCAATTCAAAGATACCCCTTCCTCCACTAAGTACAATCAGTATGTCATTATGATAATAATGATGATAACATATGGAGCCAAAGCTTAATCAGTGGGCACACTAGAATTTCTAGATAAATCTTGCTTGAATGTGTTCATTTGATACACCACAAAATATACGTGGCATTCCTATTTCCTATGATACAGTTACTTGCCTTTTTTTCCCTACTCTTTAGTTCTTTTGTTTTCACATGCAAAAATTTACTTTTATTTACAAAATCAGGATACTTCACTAAACGTTAATATGATGAATCCTAATTAGGACCAATGGTGTTTAGGATTATAGAGCAATCTCCCAGTAGACTGAAGGTATAGGTGAAAGTGTAATGCCTTTGAACTTCATACGTCAAAAAATAAATAAAAAATAAAGAGTGCATTGAAAGGTTATAAGAGCTAATATAGGTTTAGATTACTAGGTTACATGTAGTATTAAACGTGCTCTTATGGTGAAATATTGCTTCGTTGACGTACTCTTATCATGAAACATTGTTAGTCATTTTCTGTAGGAAAACGCAAGAAAAGTATAATTAATTAACTACTGTGATAGGCAGGTTAATTTCTGGTGCCGTTCTAAGTATATACTTTACTGTGGTTGGAAGTTATTATATAACTAAATAAATAAATATAGGGTCAAATAAATATTTCGCCCCCAGTGGCATATCGGGGTGTCTTCGCATACCCATAGTAGGCAGAGTACAAATAGTCAGTTGTGGAACTTTGTGCTTAATTCGAACAAATAATTATTTTCTTAATTCTGATAAGTAACGACAGAAAAACTTATGAAAAATTACATTTTACCAGCTAAATCCACTTCACATCCGTTACAGTTGTTTATTGTTCGAGTAATTTGATAATATAAATAGCGACGTAACTAATATTACGTCTTGTATCCTAGCCGGCCTGGAATAACCAGGAATTTGGCAATTACGAAAAGCCTCTTTGCCACTGGGCAGAGCAGGTAGGGTGTGATTAATGTTTTAACTTCGATCAGAAGTTTTTGTAATTATCAAATACATGAAGTAGAAGTTATATATAATATCTCTTTCAGTAATTCTATTTGATTTAAATTCATACTTTTTTCAGAAAAAAAAAAGCATTTTTTTTTTACTTATTTATTAGTACAGGTTATTAGATTGTAACCAGAAAAGTTTTCTGATATATATATATGTGTAGATAGATATATTAATTGTTAATCCTGTCACATATGAGAGTCCAGTTACTCAAAATTTTGGGATAAGATATTTCAAGAAAGGGTTTTTCTTTTTTGTTATTCTATTGGGAACTTAAGTATAATATCAATAGCAAGTAAATATGGTACAAAAAATTGTAGTTATAAACTATATGAGGAATTGTTTGAAACGTATTTGAAATAATAGAAATAATGACAGTTCGGATTGATTTTCTTTTTTAGACTGGCAATGTATTTTGAAAGAGTGATTAGTAGAAATTACAGCATGCTTTTTTTATAGCAAGGTTTTGTGCGTGCATCCCTTCATTTCAGAATTTTAGTGTTAGATAAAGAAAAACCATATTTGTCTTAGATTAACCACAGGCAAAGCTGCAGGATTATCACGGACCTTTTATTTTCGGTCAGAACTGCACCTATGCAGTATTATAATTTATAGACAAATCTGAATATTGATTCTTAAAGAGTATAGTTAGGCCACATTTTGTTAGTTTCCGCATTGGCATGTATAGTAAGGCTTGAATACTCTAAATTAATGTCAATTCATTAGGAAAATCTGTCATGGAAAATCTAGAATGGGTGTTTACGATATTCAGTCTAGGATAAACAACTTTTCGAAATATAAATTGAGAACGTCCCGGCACCATATCTCAGATAATAAGTGTTGCGCCCGAAGGATATTAAGTAGTTCAAGGTCCTCCCTCCTGTCATGAGAGGTATCACGTACTAGAAAAATATGAAAAAGACTGATTCTTTCGCTTTCAAGCGCGTTGCTTTACTTTGTAATTGACCAACCAGACGACGTCAGAGGAAAGAGGGCAAATACTGGAAACAGTAAACTGTCCTCTGAAATAGAGGACTGGTAGCATTTTATACTAAAATGGTATCTTATATTATTCAGAGCAAGTTATGTATACAGACATGTGTATTGCTATAGAACTCTACACTATAACCCTCGCACACGTATATTGATTCTAGAATGAACTCAACATTTTGGTTTCTTCCCCAAAAGTTAAACAGCTAGCTACAGCTTTCAAAGTGTACGAAATTTGCTTCTAAATCTATTCTTCAGTTTGAAACACTTTTTTCACAATTACGTAAATTCACTGACAATCGTATTAGTACTTGGGCTTTGTATTCGAACTGTATTATAAATATTAAAAAATTAAACTTAAATAAAAATGTTTATCCTCTGGTGGGACAGAGTTAAAACCCTAAATTGCGGTATTCAAGTGCCCGTGGTGGACACAGCAGATAGCCCAATGTGGTTTTGCTCAAACGGTTATTATTATTAAAAATATTTTATTTATCAGATATCATATCATTTTGTATATTTGTGTTCAATAGAAAGTGATATTCAACACTGCTATTCATTTGATGTGAATTTGGTAATATCACTAATAGATTTAGCTGGGAATAGTAATAAAAACAATCTCGTTGGGCTTAACTAATATGGGCTGATCTGGAAGTTCAATATATATCTATGGCACGGTAAAATTTTTAGTAAGTTTTTCAATAAGAATACAGTGTAATAAATATTTTAAATGCAACTACTCGATAAAAAAATCAGTTTTGTTTTATTTGTAGTCTCATTAACTAATTGGTAAAATAGATGGTCTTCAAATACATTTCGGACTCATATATATTAGTTTATATTCTATATTTATAGTAGTAACAGCTAAATAGTCGTACGAAATTGCATCATGTTTCTTTTAAAAGATTATGTTAAATAAGCTCCCAATTTCACGTGTCTGGCAGTACTGTTTCAGCCAGACGCCGCATGTTACTTGTAAAGAAGATTTGTCCAATCAGAACACTGGCACCACTATCACCTGATGCAAGAACGGAAATGGAAGCTACCACTTTGTAATACAAGGGAAACAAATAATTTGTCCTGAAATATATTTTCTATATAAGACTGGTGTCACAAAAAATTGTATAATTTACACAATATAGATATAAGTTTTGGATTTAATAATACTTTTAAATTAAATAAACACAATATACTTAGTTTATATTTCTAATTTTGTATTTCATAGTGGTAGGTTCCATGTCGTGACGTAGATCCGCTCCCTGCTCAGACGACGGAAAAACCGGTTTTAATGTATTAAATTTTAGAGTATAAATACCGCCCGAGCAGTAGTTTCAGGTTTGAAACACTAAGTAGCCTGAGCAGATTATGAATCATTGAGAGGGTGTGTGAAATACGGACTGTTTTTTCTGTTCAACTAGTTTTCAATTAACTGTGTACTTTAATTGTATATCGGTAGTCTTAATTACTCGACAGTATGTTACATCACATGTATGATGTTAAACCTTCTACGGGACAACATAGCAACAACTCTGGGAGACACATCCGAAGTAAGAGGCGGCATGCAGGTGATGACGCATTTACATGTTCTCAGCAATCCATTCTTAGCGCAATGGATCGATTCGTGAATTCCGTTACAAATATGGACTCCACAGTTTTAGTTCCTTCACGGCTGCGAGACATGGAGACCGATGGAGGTAACGTACATCAACGTCCTCCTCAATTTATGTCGAAAATGGATCTCTTTACCTTTTTTACGGCTCTTAATGACATCAAAAACGAACTACTTTGGGGACCTGCTATTGGTGGAACAAATTTATCTTCGACTGTTTCTGGGACTGAGCGGCAACATTTAGCCGCTACCATGACGCGATATCCCTCAGAAGAAAACCCCGGACTTTCTAGTAAAAGTTCTGTGTCGGACTCAGATAGTCAAGGAGACAGTGACGTTGATGGTGTCATCAATGATCCGGACTCTTTAACCTCCGAAGCACAAAAGACTCATCTTGCAACAGCCTACCGCTATCACCTACAGGGTCTTCAGACCATTTTGCATCAACTCTCAGATTCCGCAGATTACTTGTCTTTCAGATATCAAGAAGAAGTAGAAGCATCATCAGTGTAAAATGATTTAAAGTTCTTAGAAAAACTACTTTTTTGTGTATATTCTTTGTTTTCAATGTATTTTAAAGTTTGTATTATAGATTTCAAATTACTGATCAGTAAATTCCGCAATAATTATGATAGGTCAAGACTAAGGGTAATATGGTAATTATATTGATAAGATATTTTTAACTTTAATCCAAATTGGAGTATACAATAATACAAAATATGTTTAATGTGTTTTGTAAACCTCGCAATATAAATATTGCATGGTTCTAAGGTAGTATGTTTACAGTTGTCACTGACCGTTATAATTTATAACAAAATGACAAATACTGAGCTGGAAAAAAGGTGCGGTAATATTTTTAATTAGATTAAATTTTGTACTCGTGAAAAACTACATCTAAGTTTTGTAATGCTACTAATGGTAAAAAAACAAACTAAAAATTATCACCCGCTGTTTAAAGAATTCATTGTAAAACTGAATATTATTATTAGTTTTTCTAGGTGGGGAGGGAGTGGTAAGTAGCGAAGAAATTGTGTATACAAAAGTTGCATTCAACGTATATTGTGTTAATTCTTTTTTTTTTTCTCAAATGTTATTTATACAAGTATGTATATGAACTTGAAGTCAGTTGCAAATTCTGGTATTCAAGTTGTATGTAAAAATTTAACGTGCCTTTTAAAAACGTTGTAGATACTGTTGTATACATTGTCTTTAAAGTTTAAGCAGTTATGGCTTGTTGTCCCGATAGACATTAACGGTGTTGATGTTGTTTTAATATCATTTTTGCTCAATTAGCTTTAATGTGATGTATTTGTCCCATAATTTGCCTCATTAAAATCTTTCTGAAGCTTGAAGTCTTGAAAATTTTGTATTTCGTTTCAAGGTCGCCGAAAACCGTTTCCATATACTTACAGCCTGTTTAAACAAACAAACAAAAGGGGAAAAAATCGACACAGATAATGATGACTTTAAGTCTTAAATATAGCGCAAGATAATTAAAGAATTATCCCAGAGACTGACTGTCACGGTTGAAACAGTATATCATGTTGAAATAAAAAAAAAGAAGAAAAACATGACATTGTATAATAATTTTACAAGCAGTTTTATTCATCTGCACAAAGAAGCAATATGAAATCCACATTGAAGTTTGATAGCTTTGTTTAAATGTTATCACTAATAAATTCTAATCAGAAGTACACTTCCTAACCAAGTAGCTCGGAACTAATAAAAAGTTATATATATTAATGAATCCTAATCAGTGTAATAAGTTGATGAAAAGTATTTGGTGTCATAAATCAATACACAAGAAAATAAAACTTATTATTAAAATGCCCTGAATCACCAATTGCTATTAACATTTCCAACCGCGTGATTAATATTCGTAAGCTAATTAAAATAAAACATTTTGCTTTCAAAAAAGTAATAGTAATATTTTATTAAACAAGTAAACGTTATAAAAGCTTTAGGTTTGAACATTAGCCTTTAAAATGTGGCTCTTAACTATTTCCTTAGAGGAAATGACGTAATTTTTTGCGTTAGCGGACGAACGGTAAGTGCAGGTGCACCCAGCTTGAACAACTCACTTTAGGGTTGGAGGTTATTAGCACATTTGGAGTAGTGTCAAATTGCGCTGGTATCTCTTTCATGCTCATTATTCCGCAGCCGTTTACGGGCTTTTGTTACTGGTTGTATTTAAAAGTTTAGTGCTTTGTAGAATGAATACAAGTGTGTGAAAAGAAAAAGATTTTAAAAAGTTAAGGAAGTGCGTGCCTCAAAATACGTTATTAATAGCTGAAGCCAAAAATAATCGACAAAATAACATACATTTATAGCAGGGTGACAAATTATCTCAGTTTCCTTATTTTTTTTAAAAACGTCATTATGTCATACTAAGGAGGGAAATTCAGTGTGTGTTTGAATTAATTATGCAAATCTCTCCCACAATGTGTAGGGTGTGGTGGTGAACATCACAACTCAATGTCCCCAATAGGAAATGAAAAACCACACTGTTGCAATTGTAAAGAACAGCAAATACAACGGAAATCTGAAATACAAATACACCAAGACACGTATCAACAATATCTATAACAACCAACACACTACAGAATAAATAAGCAACACACCGAACAAAACCATACACAGCAAAATTTACACAAAAATACCATTATTACCAACACCAACAATACAGCCAGAAACTACACACATACGCAGCAGCACTTCGACAACAACAAAAAACAAAACAAATTATTCAAACAATAAATTACAGCCACAAAACACGTCACTCCGGCTCTGTCTGTAGGTTATAAGGTAAAAACTTTTTTATCACGAAATATACTTCTCACCAGCTCAATAGCAATGCGCCCTAATTTTTTTGGAAATTATTGTTCTAATTTCTTATTCAGTACTATTTGCAATATTAACTCAAAATTTGAGTATAATACAAACCACTAGCTGCAACAAACTGTATCTTTTCTTAGTTCTCAATGCTAATTTAATTTCACTTGTTAAGGTAATGTGAAGTTTGGGATTCACCTCACAAGAAACAAATGTATTACATATAATTATTACCCCACCATAATTATTAAACTCACCAGAGGAAGGTGCTTCGAATACACTGATGTAGGTGTTTAAGGTAATGTTACAAAGGCAAAACACATTGATAGAAGCAACTGCTCCGGTATATATCGTTACTCTGGTTGTTTCTTCTCAATGCAAGCGCATGCGTGTGAAGTGGGTGCTTTAAGAAATATTGTTATGAAAACAACATACACACTTTGAAAAGCATTTCTCCAGTATATATCGTTACCGTCGTTACTTTTCCAAATGTAAAACGTATGAGAAGCGGACGTTCAAGGAAACATTGTTACAAATACAGCATAGACACCTTTGAAATCACTTCAAAATCAAGGACGTTTATGCGCATATATTCCTTGTGTAATTTTGTTACAAAATTCTAGAAACAAACAAACATTGTATTTTTTATCCACTGATAGATATATAAAAAATGCAATGACTGATTTTATTTATATTTAGCGTCCAACTTGTTTATTAAGTCGATATTTATAATGGTTGGAGACGGCTTGAATGGGTAATGAAGAAAACTTTAATATAAGTTTAACATAACAGCAAATGCAAAAGCGCCAGTACTTTTAATAGACTTATAAACTTACTTATTTAATTGAAATGTCCCTCTTCTTCCATTATGTTATTTATATACAGTAAGATTAAATTTATATGTTCAGTTCAGTGTAAACAGTGAGGAGGGTGCAAAAATTCCACATTTCTTTAGCTCATTGGTTTATATACGTAGCACGTATAAACGTTAAAGAAATTTTTTGCCTCTAGCTGAGTGTTAGGCTATTCTATGAAACAGGATTTTAAAAACAAGCGATGAAATAGATAAAACCGGATTGCTCCGGTGCACATGGAGGTAAAAGTTTGCTGTTTTTACTGTTAATTATCTTCAAGACTTTGGGTGATTTGCAACCAATATACAATATATTGTACCAGTTCATATTAACAAACAAACTGTGTGGGACCAAGAAATAAAAAAAAAAATCGGGAAGAATTTTTAGTCAGTTAACTGTTGCCACTAACGACATAAACAAGTCAAAAACTTCAAATCAGTTAAAAGTGACCATTTTTTAATTCTTTAACATCGACATTACTGAAAATTCAGTATGAGCTGCCATATTCACTTTTCATGCGTACAAGGAGCACTGCATCAATCTTACCTGTTTAGAATAACAAATTATCTTACTGGTTAGCATATATTGTACAGAAGACGTTTTCACTAGCTCTTCGCCAGAGGTCTTTAATACTAGTTATAAAAATGCTAACAGAAACTTGACATTGAGCAACCGGTTGTAAAGGGAGAAAGGAAGAAATTAAACATATAGGCAGAAAGACTAACAGATTAACAAACATGCAAAATTGTATCTAATTAGTAATTACACTTAGGTGACCGTATAGGCTACTAACTATAACAACGAAGACAAACATGTCGGTAGATAAACGAACAGATAGTTACACAAATGTTAAGAGATAAACAAACAGAAAGTTTCTATCTTTTGAATTTCACGCAAAGCTACTCACGGGCTATCAGAGCTAGCCGTCCCTAATTTAGTAATGGTAGACTAGAAGGAAGGCAGCTAGTCAACACCACCCACCGTCAACTCTTGGGCCACTCTTTTACCAATGAAAAATGGAAATGGCCGTTACAATATAACGCCCACGCGGCTGCAAGGGCGAGCATGTTCGGTGACAGGATTCGAACCAGCGGCCCGCAGCTTGCGAGGTGAGCGCCTTAACACTAGTCTTACTAAAATTACTTTCTGGATTACCTAGAGGTCACTACTTAACGTCATTCAAAATTTTTAAATAATAAACTATAATTTCGGAAGGTATTTGTTCAGTATACCGAGACGAAAAGACCAACTTCAGTTAGCTCACCCGGTTTATACTTGAACAAATTTGTTTTGTTTTTTTGTGAAAGATAGGGAGTTTCATCATTACATAACTATTAAGGAAACGTAAAGGTGTTTTAGTTCTACTTAACATCGTTGAACACAATTTTGTAATGATTATGAAGATTGTGAAGGCGAGAAGTCTAAAAATTGTAGAAATAGAGAGTAGTTTATTTCTACTACAAGGCTCTTTTTTTTTTCTATGTCTAAAGACTAGGGGTGACTGCCTTCCCACAACTGGCTGCGGACAGCGAAAGCAAGTAGGAGTTGAGACGTTGTGGGTTTTAGCGCTCAATTTCTAACTCCTAACTGATTTTCCGTGGTTGCTAACTAGTTCGACATTTGAGTTTGAATAATGTCTTATAGATGGAACACCCACAACGCTTTTGGGAGCTATGACCACAGGCATTTTCCATTACGACTTAATGGTAATTACAATGACTGATAATAGACAACATTTTTGTCTCATTGCAAACGTTTTGGCCTTGATTTGTGTGTATATATATAGGCTGCCTCCCCCCCCCCCCAAAAAAAAGGTACAAAAATCTGGTGATTATCAAATAATAAATACATTTATTTAAAGTCTAAAGATGAAAATTTATGCTCCTATTATCCTGTTAAACGTAGGCTCCGCGTTTACCGGTAACAGCCTGCATTCGAATTGACATACTTTTCATCAACTTCAAAGAATATTTGTAGGGGAATGTTCCGAATCTTCCCGCGGATATTGTCTATGAACTCATTAATAGTCAGAGGTTTAAGGTTAGCATGAATTCTGTCTTTTAGATAACCCCATAAAAAGAAGTCCAGAGATGACAAACCAGGTGAATATGGAGACCATTTCACATCCTCATAAAGAAAAATTAGTTGGTCTGAGAATTTTTCACTGAGGTAACACCTTGTTTCTCTGGTCGTATGAGGAGTTGCCCCGTCCTGCTGGAACCACTGTGTTTTCATGCGAATACTCCCATTTCTTCACCGAGACTATTTAGACAGTTCAGGAAAGTAACATTCCTCAAGCATTTGACCATAGTTAACCCGGTTAACAATAAATGATTTCTCTTTATGAGGATGTGGAAGAGAGAGTGCAGATAGCCAAATGTATACCTTTGCACTAAATCAAAGAAACTTACAGAGACAACAGAAACTTCTAAAAATGAACTGAAAAAGTTCCACCTCTTAATGTCCAACTTGGTGTTAATAAATGCATGAAACGTATAGTTGTAATAAAAAATGTTTATAAATACTTTCAAATAGGCTTGATTTTTAAACTAATAATTAAGTAAATTATTATCTTAAATACTGTTACGAACCATATGATTTTTATAGAAAAAATAACAGTACATTTAGTTAATTAAAAAACAACAACAACATGTGAGATATATAAT